CAAAAATAAATTATTTGAGAGAGGTGATTAGAAAGGACATTGTGCGGTTCTAGCTACATGATATTAAATATATGAGGGTTTGGAGATTGCGTATTAGGGTAGAAGGTTAATAGGTTTGGAGTTGTTATTGATCTTCAAGGGATTAAGATTTTTGGTGTTTGTCATTGTACTAATTAGTTAACCATATTATTATTGTTCTTGCTTTGGACATCTATCACTGTCTGTTATTCACAATTTTTTGATTATCACACTAATTTATTTCTCTAGTTCCATTTTTGTAGGCTTTGCATTGTATAGTAGCTAAGATTTCTGCAATATTTTCTTCTAATTTGTAGTTTACAATTTTCTTCATTTGAGACAAGAGGTCTTTCAGAAACAACATCTTCATACACTCTTTCTTTCCCAAATAACTATGATGTATGTTATTGTTGTTGCTATCGTCGCAATGTTTTGTCTACAAATTTCTCCGCACATGTATTTACACATGTATGTCAAGGCAAACTTATTATTAATGTTTTCTTAGCGCTGCATGGTACTTTACACAATAAATATTTATATAGAAAAATATCATAGTTCACATCAATTAATACTCATACAAAACCATACAATACAATTTCTCATCACCCAAAGCTTGGCCAAAATAACTACACACATAAATCATCCTTATTACATTGTCACATACATAAAATAAATAGCATCATAATTATTTGTTTACATAGTCAAAGCCAAGCCATGAGATGTTCAAAGTTTCTTAGTAGTGGCAAGGTGAGTAGCAGTAGCAAGCATATTTTGCCCAATAATATTTGTGACCCCATGGTTTGTACTTCTTACAAATACCATACTTAGCTCCATAGTAGTGTTTGCAATGATAACTACATTTGTAAGAGTATTGGCAAGGTCCATTCCATTTGTCACTCTTTTTCCAACAATATTTTCCTTCTGCCATTTGTATTTCTGCAAAAATTTTAAAAAAATTGAAAACTCATGGTATGTACTTGAGATAGCAATTTTTTCAGAATTTCCTAATAACCGCCTCCGTTTTATTTTATTGGACATGTCAGTTTTATTAGTCACAAAGTTTAATAATAAATCAATATTTTAAAAATTCGTAAACTTAAACAAATCATTATATGTGATATCTATAGTATCATGTTGACTCACCAGTTGCAGCAACAAGGAAGAGGCAAAAGAGAAGGGCTAGAAAAGTAGTGTACTTTGCCATAGCTCTTATTTTAATTTCTGTTGATTTTTTGGTAATGACAACAAACAATTGAAATGGTTGTATTTATAGTGTGAGGAAACTCATATTGTCAACTTAATTCCATTTGATTTGTTCAAGGATTACGTTGGATGTTTGCTTAATTTATTATAAGATGGATGATAAAAAGGACACACCAAGTAAAAAAGAATTAGTCCAGCACAATTAGCATTTGTTTAATGGTAAAGAATAATTTGAATTGATCAAATAGACATTTAAGTAATAAAGTCATCTACTAATTGATCAATTCTATATCTCCTTTGTGCTAATACATTTTATTTTAATAATTACATAGTGTTTTCGAAATTTTGAACAAGAAGTAAATCATAGAATATAAGGATACGATAAATCTTAAAATAACTCATATATAAAAACCATAAAAATCATATTTGTATGCTATAGCTATAGTTTGCATAATTGCAAACATTAATATGTAGATTTCGCTATATACAAAAGAAAGAAGTTGTATAATTTTGATATACAGATACAAAAGAAAGCAGTTGTATAATCTGTTTTGGTATTATATATTGATACGCTCAAACTTACTTCTCAAATAAGAAGTAAAGCGGTCGTGTCAAGTAAATAACTCAACTAGTGAGGTTGGGATCGTTCCCACGAGGAAAATAGTTTAGACTTAACTTCAATCTATTATTACTATTATTCAGTCAATTACTTCCTTGGAAAGCAAAAATGATAAAAGGGGGGTTTTCTATTTCTAAATAAATGAAAATAACTAGCGAAATTGAAAGAGACACTTAACAGCTTCAAATGTTGGAGTTTAATCAATTAATCAAAGTAACTAGGATTTACGTGTTCCCCACAGGTTCATAACTTGATAATTCTAACTATAACAATTCTTTCATAGTATCTTGCATGCAAAGTGATAAGTTATGTATTTCTTCTAAATCCTTGGTCCGGCATCTAGAAAATTTCACTCCGCACCTTGGTCCGGCTACGTGTGTTGCTATACTAACTCTTACCTTTACCTCATATTAAGCATCGTATTCGATATTTGACTAAGTTATTACCTCGTACCAATCAATACTAGCCTATTAGATAGTATACACTAAATCTATGTTGATAATTCTTTTCCTATTATCTACCTCCTTGGTCCGGCAAGTAGCATTAAGGCGAAAACAAACGTTGGCCATCCGTTAAAAAGACTTCTAAGCGAAAGAATTATCGATACATGCAAGACAATATTCTAGAATTGTTGTTTTAGCTAGATTTTACCTCATTATTCGCCTATGGTTCCCACAACCCTAGTTATGGAGTTTAGTTACCCATAATCATAATCACAATATTCAAATATATGATATAAGAATTCATGCACTTACTTCAATGAGAAAGAGTAAAATCCGAAAGTACGCTTGATTAATCAACAAAAATCACTAACAATCAATTACTGAAATTAATTGAAGAACAGAGAGTCTAAAAATAATCAAGGGCCTAACCAAATAATCCAGAGTCTAACCTCAAAAACGAGGTTTTTTCGAACTATTTATAAAAAAATAAAAACCTAATTACAGAAGGACTCTATTTGTTGGAAATCTGTCAAAACGCGGCTGGGTCGACGGACCTCGCGACGGATCGTTGTGGACACAACGGACCGTCATGGACTCCGTCGTCCCATACTTGATGCAATTTCTTCTGCTGCTCTCTTCATTACCCTCGACGGCAGGTATGACGGATCATCACAGGCACAACGGTCCGTCGAGGGTCTCCGTTCCAAAACACTTGAACTCTTGGAATATGGGTACTGGGACTACTTCTCTGAACTTTATGACGAACTTGCAGGACGGACCGTAATGGATACGACGGTCTGTCACGCTTTCCGTAACTCCACACTTGGTCAGACTTCCCCATCTTTTTTCAGCAGCTGCACTACGCTGACACCTACGAACTGTCACGAGCATGACGGACCGTCACAAGCTCCGTAGGTGGTCTCTTCTGCATTTCTTCGCTCAAAAACCTCCGCATTCATCTTTGGACAGATTTCCTGCAAATAAGGAGAAACTTAAAAAGGCTTTTGGACACACTAAATTTAAGGAAAAAACATTAATAATACCGTGAAATCACGGTATATCATATATATACAAAAAATGAATTGTATAATATATGTTTGTATAAAGCGAGAAAAAGAGAAAGACAAAAGAAAATTGGGCAGGGGAAGATCGTATTTGTATAATCACAAGTGTATAGAACGAAAATGTATGCATTTGTATTTGTATATATAATTTTCTCTCGCTTTATACAAACACAAACATAGAGTATACATTTATGTTTGTATAAAGTGAGAAAGACGAGTGAACGGGCGAGATCTGGGGGAGTCGCAAGCGAGATCTGAGAGGGGGGAACGAAAATATATGTATATATACAATTTTCTCTTGTTTGATACAACCACAAATACATTTTATACATTTATGTTTTTGTATAAAGTGAGAGAAGCGACTGAGCGAGCGAGATCTGGGAGAGGAAAACAAAAATATATGTATATATACAATTTCTCTCGCTTTATACAAACACAAACACATTTTATACATTTGCGTTTGTATAATAGAGAGAGAGGCGAGGGAGAAAACGAGAGTGGCGAGCAAGATTCACCAGGAGTGAGGTGAAATAACAACAGTTTGCTATGGAATACAATTAAATCGAACTATGGTTATTTGTTAAATTTAATTTGAATTAATAGTTTGCAATATATACGATTTTTCCTAAATTTTATTATAAAAACACATTATTTGAGAATGTAAAAATTATGACATATCCTAGATAGATTTACCTCAAAAATTTCACTAAGTCAAGCAATATACTACAAACAAATAATAAAGGGACTTGATAAACTTTTATGGAAAATGTTTTAGTTGGAAAAAGAAATTCTATTCTAACTTATTTTTTCTTGTTTGGTTGGTGAGTAGAAAATAATTTTTAATAATTGATTGGTGAATGAAAAATACTTTTCAAAAAATATCTTTTATTTTTTACTTGAGACTAGAAAATACTCTTTAGAAAAATAATTTCTGACCCGCCCGAAATTAAATCAACCTTGATAATCGATCTAGGACTTGACTCTGACCCCTAAAATAGGACACGATTCTGACAATCGTTCTAGAAGAAACAATTATGAAGTTCGATCGCTAGTGGACGACAATTGCGCGCTAATGCATGACTTCTTGATTTTCAGAAGAGAGGAATCATATCATCCATGATGGCATACCTTTATTAAAAAGTAGATGAGTTCAATGAAGAGTCAATGATAGGCATTACTCAGTTATATTTAGAGACTTCATAAATAGACATTTAGTTATGCTTCAATGTGATTTTTGTGCCGTTAATTTGTCAGTGATTTCAATAGTATGATTTACATTAATGAAAAGTATTTCTTTTACAAGACTCTCCGGCCTTCAAATGCTTTTAAACTATATTTTCATGTCTAGATGTACTATAGAGTCTAGGCTTGCGATGACACCGAGTATCATTCTCACGTAGAGTATAGGCTTAGCCGTACATGGTATGTGGAATGATATATAAATATTTATATAGAAAAATAACACTATTCACATCAATAATACTTTGTTTTAACTGTATCGCACTATGTATCATTTGATAACCCTCAAAATCTTCCACCTTAACTTCAAATTGAAAAAATCCATAGATATTTACAGCTACATATGTTATAGGTAGGAATTATTTAACAACTAGACAAAATCTGAAAGAAATCAATTGAAATAAAAGAAATCAGTAAAAAAAGTACCTTGTTGGCAATTATTAATATTAATAGAAAGTCATACAATACAATACACTTAGTCATCACCTAAAGCTTGGCCAAAATGGTAGCACACATAAATCAGCCTTATTTCATCATATTACACACATAAAATAGGCAGCTTCTTAATTGTTTGTTTACAATTGTCAAAGCCAAGCCATGAGACACTTAACGTTTGTTAGTAGTGGCAAGGTGAATAACAGTAGCAAGCATATTTTGCCCAGTAATATTTGTGACCCCATGGTTTGTACTTCTTACAAATACCATATTTAGCTCCATAGTAGTACTTGCAATGATGACTACATTTGTAAGAGTATTGACATGGTCCATTCCACTTGTTACTCTTTTTCCAACAATATTTTCCTTCTACCATTTGTATTTCTGCAATTAAAAGAAAATTGAACTCATGTTATGTACAAATATAATAAAATACAAACATTTTAAAAATTCGTAATCTTAAACAAATCGTTATATTTGGTAGCTATAGAATCATGTGGACTCACCAGTTGCAACAACAAGGAAGAGGCAAAAGAGAAGGGCAAGAAAAGTAGTGTACTTTGCCATAGCTCTTATTTTCTGTTGATTTCTTGGTGATGAAACAAACAATTGAAATGGTGGTATTTATAGTGCTGGAAACTCAAGTTGTCAACTTAATTCCATTTGATTTGATCAAGGATTACGTTGGACGATGTTTGCTTAATTAATTTATAAGATGGATAATTGAAAGTAGAAAGAATTAATCAATCACAAGTAGCATTTCTTTAATTGAAAAGAATTTGAATTAATCAAAGAGCTATTTGAATGATAAAGTCTATTATTTATAATTGATCAATTCTGTATCTTCACAAATTAAGTTGCTTTTATGAAGTCAACATTCCTTAGTGTTAATACGTAATTATAAGATGGATAATTAGAATGACAGGACATCAAGTACAAAAGAATTTGTCCAACACAATTAACATTTCTTTAATTGAAAAGAATTTGAATTGATCACGAAGCAATTTGAGTGATCAAGTCTTCTACAAATTGATCAATTCATGGAATTATGTCCTTGAAATTTGATTTTCAGATCTAAGTTTCATGGACCGAACTACTGGTCATAGAAGTTTATACGCTCTGTAGAAGGTCTCGTGGAAACCAAGTCATGAAGCACACTCTAGTAAGCTTCTTAGGAGCGAGCAAGACGGTCCATCAAAGTCTCTATGAGAGGGTCTATGGACGGTAGACTTTTGTATGAACCGTAGATGACCTTTCATAGACGGCTTCTGCCAATTTTTAAGAGAGGCTATTTTAGTTGTTACACCTAATTAAGGTCACAAGAATCCCCTGACACAAAGTTGAGTTAAAAGCTTCCTTACCAATTAAATTTTGATATAAGAATATACCTAATTAGGTCAACTTCAAACGATCATATATTTTAGAATATAAAGATTTAGGTGGCCCGTAACCTATCAAACTAAAGGATATTTGGATCTTCTTTCCAGCGTCACCAATTTTAATTTGCATCAATCTGAGTTCACAATAAATAGTTATGATCATTTTATTATGCAGTGACGATTTATCCGATGGAAACAAAATACTAAAAAGTTATCTGAGACCTAAACTAATTTCTTCACTAACAAAAGACCCAAAACAATCTGGTTTTCATCGCTTAATCCCCATTCTCTTCTCTCTCAACTTCTAAGGCAAAATCATTTTGAACCTCACACCTCAAACTTTCATTCTAACTTAAGTTTCAGATATCTATTCTCAATTCTAATCCTACATCCAACTCCTGATTCTCAATTTGAGACCCAACTTTGACTCTATAAGAGACCCATTTCCTGAATTTCAGATTGAGTCATGGTCGGATTTGAGTTAGGATTAGAGCTTGAATTTCGGGTCGAGTGTCGAGATCGAATTCAATGGTGGCATACATCTATTTAAATTGATTCAATGAAGAGGCAATGTTATTTATTAAGTCATTACTTAGTTATATTTAGAGGTTTATAGGTAGACAACTAGTTATGCTTCAGTTTAACCTTCATGTCCTTTCATTAATGAAAAGTTGCATCAGCGATTTTGTTGGGTTTGGACCTTTTTCACCTTCCTATGTGGATGAATAAAAGTCCAAAGTTTTGGGTCTTCCATCCTTCCTTTGTGGATAAAATTAGCCAAATTTGACAAGCCCACTTTTATCTATACGTCCCAATATCATGGTGCATATGTAAGACTTTCTTTTAGGTCTTATTTGAAGTAAATCACAAGAATTTGAGAGCAGCCAATATAGAGAGAAATGTGAGAAAGTGTAGATTTTCGCATAAGCCATAGCAACCAATTTCAAATTGCAATTCCCGCTTCATTTCTTGTTCGATTGAGCTAATTTTTGGACGTGTTCCTTTCAACATAATCTTTGATTGGGAACTGAGAGAGGATGATTTAGAGTCCCGTATCTCCAGATTTTAGCTCATGAACAGTAGCTGCGATTTGGATATTTTAGCTCCTTTTGTTTATCTAATTTTTGGTGCTATCTTGTAGTTGTGTTGCTCATTGTTTTGGTTGTCGGTGACCATTTTGGAGGACACTTTGTAACTCTTGTTGATTATAGTGGAGCTTTGATCTTGTGATTTTTACTCTTCACACCGAAGAGGTTTTCCACGTTAAATTTGGTGTCTCTTATGTTGATTTATTTTCTTGCTTGGTGGTATGTTTGCTGCCCCAAACTATTTGATTCTTGCATTATTTTGTTGTCTCTTGGTTCAAATAGAAGGGAAAATTTTGACTTGGGTTTCTTTCACTATCTCCTTTGTTTTGCACATATGTTTTTGTGCTTGCCTTTCCCAACAGATTTCAGTGCTATGACAAAGTGTTACTTTTTAAAGACTTTCCTTCAAATGCTTTTAATCTATGTTTTCACTCACTTTTAGATGTATGCCATCTGTCTAATGCTATATTGTAGGTATGCTTGGACCAACAATGGAAGTGAGTATCAATCTCGCATAGAGTCTAAGCTCGGGGCATGATAATACACATGTATGTTTGAGTCATGTTATTTTTATCTTAAGCATGCATGGCATGTGACACAATATATAAATATTTATATAAAAAAAATAGCATAATTCACATCAATTGATATTAATAGAAAGGCATTTACAGTACAATAACTCACCACGCAAAGCTTGGGTAAACTAGTTGCACACATAAATCATCCTTATTGCATTGTCACATACACAAAATAGGTAGCATCATAATTATTTGTTTACATAATCAAAACCAAGCCATGAGATACTGACATATTCTTAGTAGTGACAAGGTGAGTAGCAGTAGCATGCATATTTAGCCCAGTAATATTTGTGACCCCATGGTTTATATTTCTTACAAATACCATATTTAGCTCCATAGTAGTACTTGCAATGATGACTACATTTGTAAGAGTATTGACAAGGTCCATTCCACTTGTCACTTTTTTTCCAGCAGTATTTGCCTTCTGCCATTTGTATTTCTGCAAAAATAAGAAAATTGAAAACTCGTGGTATGAACTTGCAATAGCAAATTCCTAATAATTTCCTATTAATAACAATGCCTCCGTTTCATTTTATTTGACCATGTTTGACCAGTCACAAAGTTGAATAAAAAATAAATATTTTACAAAAATTATAGTTTAAAGCAAATCATCATATTTGGTAGCTATGGAATCATGTCGACTCACCAGTTGCAGCAACAAGGAAGAGGCAAAAGAGAAGGGCAAGAAAAGTAGTGTACTTTGCCATAGCTCTTATTTTCTATTGATTTCTTGGTGATGAAACAAACAATTGAAATGGTGGTATTTATAGAGTTGGAAACTCAAGTTGTCAACTTAATTCCATTTGATTTCTTCAAGGATTACGTTGGATGTTTGATTAATTAGTCATAAGAAATGGATAATTAAATTATGACATATCAAGTAAAAAGAATTAGTCCATCACAATAAGCATTTCTTTAATTTTAAAGAATTTGAATTGATCAAAGTGCTAGTTGAGTGATAAAGTCTTCTACTAATAGATCAATTTTGTATCTCCACAAATTGTTTTTTTGAGGTCACCACCACCCCTTTGTGTTAATACATGTTATTTTAATGACTACCTAATGTATTTAAGAATGGAGTTTTTCAAATGTCAAATACAATAAATGTTATCATATAAAACATTTTGTTTGAGAGAGTAAAAATCATGGATTTGCCTTGAAAACTTCATGAAGTCATGCAGTTATAGGTTACAAGACAATAATGATTAGGTTAACATATAGTTATATTTTTAAATAGATTTATTTATTAGTTACTTATATTTAATATATTTGTTAATTATTCTAGAATAAGATTTATGTTTCATAGCTTTATAATGATTGGGCTAACTATAATTATTAGTTTGGAATGGGATTTAGGTTTCTTACTTTCATAATAATTAGACTTCTATTTAAAGGAGTTCTTGAGGAATAAATCAATTAAGAAATATTTCAGGAAAAGTTAAAACATATATGATAATATTTCAATTTTCCTTCAAAAGAAAAATAAAACTCAAATAAGTTTAGAAAATCAGGGAAAAACTCTGACAGTAACAACCCAATAATTTGGACATATCATTGTGAACAAATTCTTGAAAACCAACATACAATGGAATTTTTTTTTTGAAGTGACTGGATTTTCATATGTTTGGAGTACCATTAAGGTATTATCAACTCAAGGCAAAGGGCTCAATGAGTTGGGAAGAACTTCAACGATTTGGACCTCCTGAAAGTAGCAACCATATGGGTGAATTAATCATGTTTATGTAAACGGGTAGAGTTGAAATTTATCGATATCAACTTCTAGCTAGGGCTGGAATGGACTATTAAGTTGATACCTCTACAACAAAAATGATCATTAGCGGCATTTAATTCTTAATTGCCGCTAAATATGTATTTTTAGCGGCAATTGTCACTGTTTGTATATGTCGCTAATGCCTTTAGCGACATTGGTTCTAATGGCACTTAAGTAATGCCGGTAAAGACTTTAACACTCTTTATTAGTGTCAATATTTAATGCCGCTAAAAGTTATTTTTATTGTAGTGTACTAGCTATTTGAGATTTTCTGTATGATTTCCCTAAAATTTGAGCTCGAGGACAAGCCATTTCAACGTGAGGGGAGTAATGTTGTGGATGCAGGGAAGTCAATTAATTAATTATTCAATTATATTTTAAAGTAGATTTATTTATTAGTTAATTATATTTTAGTAGCTTTTAAAATTATTTTAGAGTATGATTTATGTTTCATAGCTTTATAAGAATTATGTTAACCTATAGTTATTAATTTGGAATAGGAATTAGATTTTCTACTATCATAAGAATTAAACTACCTATTGATGTAACAATTCTTCTATTTTGTATGTCTTGAATCATTTAACTCTTCATATTTTGAGAGATATGATTATTTAATTATAGTTTACCCTTGTGTAATTTCATGCAAAAAACTTAACAGGTAGAAAAGTTTTGAACTCGATTTAGCCGGTAAAATATTTTGAAAGTTGATATTTTCAAAATTTTCCAATAGATCCCACATTTCCTATTGTCCCAATGTTTTTTCTAAAACTGTCTCTGCTAGTGCGTTACACATGTATATGTCGAGTCATATAGTTATTATTCGTTTTAGCTTAGCCCTACCTGATACTATACACAATAAGTATTGATAGAAAAAAAAAACATAATTCACATTAATTGATACTCATAGAAAAGCATAAAATACAATTGCTCATCACACAAAAATCTTGGCCAAAATAGTTGCACACATAAATCAACCTTATTACATTGTTACACAAATAAAATAGCTGTAGCTTCTTAATTATTTGTTTACATAGTCAAAGCCAAGACATAAGATATTGAAAGTTGATTAGTAATGGCAAGGTGAGTAGCAGTAACAAGCATATTTTGCCCAGTAATATTTGTGACCCCATGGTTTGTACTTCTTACAAATACCATATTTAGCTCCATAGTAGTGTTTGCAATGATAACTACATTTGTAAGAGTATTGACAAGGTCCATTCCACTTGTTACTCTTTTTCCAACAGTATTTGCCTTCTGCCATTTGTATTTCTGCAATAATGAGAAAATTGAACTCATGTTATAATAAAAAATAAACATTTTAAAAATTCGTATCTTAGACAAATCATTATATTTGGTAGCTATAGAATCATGTCGACTCACCGGTTGCAACAATAAGGAGGCAAAAAAGAAGAGCAAAAAAAGTAGTGTACTTTGCCATAGCTCTTATTTTCTATTGATTTCTTGGTGATGAAACAAACAATTGAAATGGTGGTATTTATAGTGTTGGAAACTCAAGTTGTCAACTTAATTCCATTTGATTTGATCAAGGATTACGTCGGATGATGTTTGCTTAATTAATTTATAAGATAGATAATTGAAATTAAAAAGAATTAGTCAAGCACACGTAGTATTTCTTTAATTGAAAAGAATTTGAATTAATCAAAGAACCATTTGAATGATAAAGTCTTCTACTAATTGATCAATTCTGTATCTCCACGTACAAATTGCTTTCATGATAACTCAAAATTTTCTGCTTTTATGTTAAAAAACAATAAACCTGATTTACTAAATAAACTAGAAAACAGAACGAAATTAAAAATTATACATAAAATAGTTGATATTAAAGAATTCATTGTGTGTTCGTAAAGAATTTAATTCTTTTAATCATGTGATTGACCTAGCTACTTGGAGTTATTTATGGTAAAACACGATTTGAGAATCCTAACTGGTAATGAATTAGTATTTGATTTGGTTTCCTCATTATAAAATATCTCTGGAAAAAGTGGTTTCCTTTTTCTTCATCTTAGTAACATAATAGTATATATGGTAAAACTCATTCCTTCTGAAGAAGGAGAACCACCTAGTTACCTTTTGTAGAGTGGTGGCTAAAATGCAAATAGATTATTAACTCCTTAGGAAGGTTGATAGAGGCCTATGTAATGACTACGAGGTTATCCCGAGTGAAAATCTTACCACCCAACATAAAATTTTAGTGATGGACCTGGAAATTAAGCGAGAGAGGGAGAAGAAGATTCTATATGACCAACCGATGATTAGATGAGGTGGCTTGACCCACGCCCTCTATTATGATCAACGAAGGCGTGGAGGAGTAGTGGGGATGTGAAATACATGCAGGATAACACAACTAGTTGCATTAGGGAAGCGACTAGAGATAGGTGATAGAAGTGTCCATGGGAAACTTTGGTGGTCATGGGGGTGGGGGGTGGAGTGATTGGCGGTGGAATGGAGAGATCTAATTTAAAGTGAAAGCAAAGAAGACTGTGTATGTATAATTGGTGAAGTCCAAGGTAGAGGAAGAGAATGTTAGGACCGGAAATAAGCAGGTGTATACGCGGAAGCTAGCAATGCAAACCTCAAAAGACAACGAGTAAGAAGACAACGAGAAATATACCAAAAGACACAAAGATTTAACGTGGTTCGGTCAATCGACCTACGTTCACAAAGGAGATGAGCAATCCACTATAAATATGTGAGTACAAAATACAGAGGGAAACAACCTCAACCAATTCACTCAGAATACATGGGAGGTTCACACAAGCGATAACGTATCAAGCTTGTGACCCATAAATTCTCCCCCTAACAAAACTCTCAAAGCTCTTAAGACTACATTGTGAATGCTGATTAAGTTAGAAGGAACATGCCTCTATTTATAGAGTCATAAACCTTTTCCTACAAGAAAAGGATTAGTCAATCCAAAACCTTTTCCTACAAGGAAAACCTATTTATGGTAAGAAATTTAGGGCAAATAAAACCCAACAGAGAAATGGATGAATAAGGAAATATATAAAGGGGTAAAGACGGAGGCTAAATTAGCAATTACAGTGGCAAAAATGTCAGCTTTCGAACACATGTATTTTGAACTAGGAGATAGAAGTGGAGATAATTAAGAAATTGTACAGGCTCACAAAGGCGAGAGAGAGGAAGGATGTTAATGGAAGATAACCACATTAGGAAAAGATGGGAAACATACTTCCATAAACATTTGAAGGAAGAAGGAGACATAGACATTGCATTGCGGGATATGGACTACTATGAGAAGCACCGGGGTTTTGGATATTGCAGGTGTCTTAAGGTTGAAAATGTTAAGTGTGCTATTAATAGGATGCGTGATTAAAGGAAGATCGACCAAATCAGATGAGATTCTGGTGAATTTTTTGGAAGAGCACAAACATGACATGCATTGAGTGATTGACAGGTTGTTTAATGTCATTATTAAGACGACAAAATGCCTAACGAAAGGAGGTTGAATACAATGGTCTTGTTGTACAAGAACAAGGATGATAGTCAAAAGTACAATAATTACATCGACATCAAGTTACTAAGATGCACTATGGAAATTTGAGAGAGGGTGATGAAGATGAAGGTGAGGAGAGGTGTGTCCATTTCTCAGACCCAACTTGGTATCATGCCAGGGTGATCAACTAGAGAAGCCATTCATTAAGTGAGGAGGCTGATGGAATAATATAGAATAAGGATGAAGGATTTGCATATGATGTTTATTGACCTAAAAAATACTTATGTAAAAGTTTCGAGGGAAATACTGGAGATACGTGAAGGCTAAATGTGTGAAGGTGGCTTACATTAAGGTGATAAAAGACATGTATGATGAAACCAAGACTCAGTTAGAACCAAGGGAAAAGACTCCTAGCACTTCCCTGATAAGTTGGGGTTTGACTCAAGGATCATCAGTTATTAGCCCGTTCCTATTTGCCTTAGTACTGGACAAATTGACGCGGTGTATCCATGATGAGGTTCCATGGTGTTGGAATT